CACACACACACACACACAAATTATAACTCAGTAAATTTTACAGATAAAGAACTTATTTCTGGGGGCAGTAGCTGACAGTATCTCATAACTCATTTTCTAATTTATCACAGATCATGTGAGACATAATTTATAGAATTGCACAAAGTTTTTACCAAATTTTACCAAGCATGGTTATTATTCCATCATTTCTCAACATAAGATGACCTCATTCTAAAACTCTGGCAGGAAAGGCAAAAGGCGATATTCATTCCTACAAATAATATTAAGTTCATTTGATCTGTTTTTTTTTTTTTTTTTTTTTTTTTGGTGAGTTGCATCAAACTGAACTGCATATATAATGCCTCTTGCAATAAACATGAATAAGATGGAATAGTACAGTTGACAGAGAAGACACAAATATAAGTGCAGAAAAGTGACTTTATAGGGATGAAAGATGAAAATGAAAGCAGGTAATAAGAAATGTTAACATTCTCTAAGCACGAGTTTTGTTTTCTACCCAGCGCTTTAAGTTTTCTCAGTTGTCTCTCTAGTTATCTGTCTTCACCCGTATTATTGTTGTGAAACTCAGCTCCATGTTTGTCTCAGTCCACTGAGTCTCTGACAGGCTGTCAGTCCACGTCTCTGCTCTGTGTTTACATTTGGGCAGCACCAGGCTGACTGCACTGTAGGAATTTAACCCCAGGGTCCCTGCCTTCCTCCTCCTCCTCCTCCTCCTCCTTTCACCTCTCTATCTTTCCCATCCTTTTCCTTCCAGTTCTCTTCTCCTTACTCCCCTCTCCAGTCATATTCAATCCTTCCTCCAATTATCCCCCCCCCCCTCCTCTCTGGCCCATCGCTCCCTCTTCATGCTCTCTGTTTTCCTTTCTTATCCCCATTTCTGCTTTCTCTCCTCCGAACACATCCCCCCTCCCTCCCTCTCGCCTCCAACTTTGCCCTTTTCTATTCCCTGTTTTAAAATTCAAAGAGCATTGTCCAAGTTCCCTCACACCCCCCTTTCCTCTGTCATCATGCACTCACCTCCCGGTGTCCTCCCCTCCCCTCATTCCTCTGCTGTCTGCTCTTACCCAAACAAACTGGGGAGGACCCTTCCTCTGCGGTGGCTGCAGGAGAAACACCACATGTCAGAGTTGGCTGAAACATAAACATTGGTCAATTTGAGAGACTGAAAATAAGGATATGAGGCACTCTAAGTGGAACGTGAAGTGAGTCTGTGGTGAGGAAATCTCTGAGATTAAACAAATCCCAGCAAACTTCTCTGTTCTCAGCATTAAGAGTTATTTGTAAATACTTAAACGTTTCGACTCCCAAGTGCCATTTGTCCAAATTTTTAGGTGAAGAGTGAATTGAAACAACTTGAAGTCCCAAAATGCATAATCTCTTTGTGGTTTAAAACACATTAACCAAAATGAGGGGCAAGTTTTGATAATTAGCGTTAATCTTCACAGCCTCTGTGTTTTCCATTGACGCAGCAGAGTGTATAATCTGCTGCTCGCTGGGAGAAATGTTTCCAGTCAGAACAGTGGTGTTTCTCAGCAAGAGGTTTCTGATCTCTGCCACACTGTTCTGTGCGGGGTTTCTAATCAGATTATGCTAGTTATGAAAGTCAGCTAGATTAGTTTTAGCGCAGGGAAGTCGAGCACAAAGCATTGATTCACAACGGGAGCTGATGTGCTCTAGGGGGGAATAAAACTGGGCTGTTAATATTTGCAAGCCGCACAATAAGTAGGAAGGGTGACAATTTGAGTGAATATGAAACTGGGACGGAGCAGTCGACATGATTCTGCATTTAAAACAATTAGGATTTTAGTCGGTGAAATAGACTTTAATTTTGAATTGGTCAAATTGGATTGCTGTTGAAACTACTCTAATTTTGGCATGAATGAAATGTAATAAATTTGAAGATTTAATGTGAGAAGTGCACACTCAAGTTGCTTCCAAGATTATTTTAGCACAACACCCATTGCTTACCGACTCCTCCAACACACACAAAAATGTCTAAAGTCAAGCATGGTTATTGTTTATTTTAAAAGTATTACAAAGCAGACACAGTGGGATAGCTGCTGCCAAAATGCATGTCCTGTAAACCACTGGGCTGGTGAAAGTGAAGGAATACAAACATCCACGGTTAGCAGAGTTAGCAGCTCATGTCTGTATTGAATTGGTCACGACTTCAGGATGCACGACCCAAGAATGCTGACCAATATGAGCAGGTTGGATAAAAAATGATGTGCTTTATTCTAAAAATACAGGAAGGCAGATGTAGCCGGACAAAACTTACAAAACACCAGAGAAGCAGACCCAGCTGCATAAACAATTTATTTTTTATTTTATTATTATTATTATTATTATTTTTTTTTGGGGGGGGGGGGCATTCCATTTTTTCAGGGGGGCACACTTTTTCAACAATCATTTTATTTGCTTCAAGCTGAACAGTGGCTCTGTGACTACAGTGATGAGAATTTAAAAAAATCTCAATCTCAAAGGAAAGATTGCTACATGAATGGAACTGGTTAGAACACTAATGATGGATGGATTGACAGGTTTATTTATTGACCTTTATTTAACCAGGACATTCTCAATTATTAAACTAATTTATACCACTTCCTGGTTTTAAACTGGTCAAAATAAAATAAAGTTGTTAATCATGCTGTATGTTATGTTTTTAGATCAGTAATTCATTTCATGAGGTTCACACCACTGACTAGAATGTACTAAAAACATTTTAGATTTCATTCACACCTGCCCATCACCTTCATCTCTTACCTGAGATACTCTGTCCTACCTGCTGCCCCTGACTCCTACATCAACAGACATGGAGATGGATTTTGCATTAGGTTTTTTACTACTACCTGAATTCAGTCAGCTTTAAAAAGTCAAGAAAATGTCATGAGATACTATAAGTAAATAACAGATGACTATTTGTTCTTTGCATCATTTGACTGTTAAAAATAAAAGTTCTCTGACAATGAAGCTTTGTTTTTTATGCAGAAAATACTCTAAACTCTAAAAAATACTAAACTCCAAGTAGACTTTTCTGATGTGATCATTTTATTCTTGCAAAGATAAGGAAAACAGCAGATGCACTACTACAAGGTTTATGAGACTTACTATATAGGTGTACTGAAGCTAATAGACTAAATTACGGAAATAATTGGTGACTTTATGCATATAAACTATAACAAGGCATCAATAAATATCAGAGTGGACTTGGACTCAATCTTGGCATTAAAATTCAGTTTAAATGATTAAAAACAACTCTATAGTAGATTCAACATCATCAATAAATTTTAAGTTCTTGCAAACAGTAGTTGATAGGTGATTAGCAGCAAGCTAACATTTTGCAGGAAAAACAATTGCTCTGTGGGGAAAGTTTGACTTATTTCTAGTTCTTTGCAAAGAATAAAGTTTAACCAAATGCTGGACGTGTTTGGATGTTAATGAGGCTGACGTTACCTGCTCATTAGCACTGATAATTCACCACGTTGTTTACAACGCAGACAGGTATCTGCGTGCGTGTCGGAGAGGGAGGGAGGGAGGCAGGTGTCGCAGCAGCTCTTCTGAGTGGGGGAATGTTAGCGAAGCAGGAGTGAGCCAAAACCCAAATGAAAATAAACACCATCCCGTCCGTGGCGGGCACTGCTGGCTCTGTGAATGGG